ATCAAATCAAGAATGATTTTGAACTAAGAAAATAGTATTCGATTATAACATGAAGAATGATGAAGACGATAGATTTCTTTGAATGCAGACTACGAATTGATACTTTTGGAGCTATTCTATTCATACTTAGATTTTTCTTTTCCTTGATTCATCACTTCTGCTTGTTAATTTTCTTTTTTAATCTTGAAGATAACACAACATTCGTTTCGAAAAGAAAGAAAGCAAGAAAAAAAACAGATTCTTACATGAACTTCAAGTCTCAAAAGAATCTTGTTTGATCATTCAATAAAATATATACAAAAAAAAAACTGAGAAGAATTATATTTAAAAGTTCTTGAAACTCACACAAGCTTCTTTTAAAAGATAAACAAAAATATTCTATTGTGATCTTCAAAATCAACATCTAATCATGTCTCTATAGTTTTATATACATATATATATAGAGAGAGAGAGATGGAAATATATGTGGGTGTGGATGAAGAGAAGATCACACCCATACCTTCAAGAAAGACACGTACCAAGCAAAGACTCTTCATTATTTTGGAACCAAAGAAAAACGGCATTTTCGCCATTTATTCTCATCACTTAGGGATTTCATAACACCGAATGGGAAAATTATAAAAGACCCTCAGATTATGTCAAATATAGCGGTGGATTACTACGAAAAACTACTTGAAGCTTTATTAGTGGCACATTCATACATCGATGCTCCTTCAATCATATGGGAAAATGCATCAATTCCTATACTGAATGTGACTTACCCAAAAATTATAAATATATTATGATCGAGAAAGAAGAAACAATCATTAGACATTCATGAGTTATCTCCTATTATACTCGACAAAGTTCCTAGAAACTACTGGCACCTCCTAGCTCAACTTTATAATTATTCATTTGCAGAATGCGTCATGGTAAAGAAATTTAAGGGAGAACGAATGGTAGATTATTAGCTAAAAAAAATGGTATATGTGCAGCAGACCAAACAAGACCTTTCTCACTGCTCAATTCGTTTCTGAAAATACAGGAACGACTACTTCTCACTTGGTTTATTTAAGTTCTGAAAGACAGAGGTATCCTACTGGATGATCAATCAGGTTTTCGTGCTGGATATAGATTATAGACAAAAGTGTTACTACTCATCGTACATGGCGAGTATCTCTCCGGTCGCGACAGTCTTTGTTGATTTCAAATCTGCATTCGACCAACTGTAGTTTGATGGATGGCTAGAAAAGCACATCAGGCTAGACATTCTGCATGTATATGTTAAATGAATTCATACCTGACTTTGTGATCGTAAAGCAAGAATAGAGATGCAGGGTAAAAGATCGCGTTGGATAGAAATTAATCATGGTAGTCCATAACGTTCAAGTTTGACATCTTCGTTATTCATCACATATCATAGCGATATAGTGGACCGTATTCCTGGAGCTATGTTCTTTCTCTTTGCCGATGATCTTGGATCAGTACTAGCCGATCAAATAGGAATTCAATTTACTGATCAACTACAAACGTTCTTAGATCAAGTGGAATTCCATTCGGTATTAGCTGTACAACCAATCAATTATATGAAAACTCAAGCAATTTTCTAGGCATAAGCAGTAGGATACCCGAACCCGACATCACAAATTCACAGTAGAGAATATACGATAGAATGGATCTCATCATTTAAGTACCTAGAATATTGGCTAACGACGAAGTTAGGCTGGAAAAATATTCTAGCAAAGATCCGAATCATTGTTCGTCAGAAAACAGCATTGATGAATTCGTTCAGGTTTACTGGTACATCCTCGATGCACTTATGTCGTGTATTTTTCTTGACTTTCGTTCTTCCGCATTTCATATGGTTATTCGGAATTTTCCCGTCACTCACTGATTTTCAATGTACTGATCCGAACCATCTATACTTCATACTCTTCAAAAGAACGTATCCTTGTCAATATTGGAAGGATCTACTGTTCTCATCAATATATAAAGAAAAACTCCTCGAAGAGTATTGTATATAGGTACTCGCGAAAATATTTAAAAGCACTATCAAAAACCAGACATGGATATCTCTCTCTTGTTGATATAGTCAGAATTGAACATGCACATATTGAACTGGCTTGAAGATATACAATCAATCCGCTGCTTGCGCAGATCGAAAAGACTTGTAAAACACTTGGACATGTTCAAACAAGTGATAAAATGGATCGTAACTCATGGAATGACGGATTCAATCATTGACTACAACGAAGACGAACTCTTCTACTTTGCCTTATTCCCGGAGTTTTAGATAATAGTTAATATTCATGTTAAGGTCATACTGACAAAAAAAAAGACAACAAGAAGCAGAGAAAGAGAGAGAGAGAATGATGTATATTTTTTTCCTTCTTTTTTGCTTTCTTGTTTTTGTTTGTTTCTTCTTAAGAATATCATACTGTCGCACTTGCTTCTTCTATTTTCCTCTCTTTATTCTTTGATTTTTTTTCTTTTGTTGTTCTGCCCACTGCACTACATGCATTATTGTTAGTTATGCTTTAACAGATTTATAGCCTTTCCACCTATAATGTTCCTTTAGGACTGTCATGGTCATAGGGCAAAGCTCGACTTATAATAAAAAATAAAATGATTATTTGATAAGTGATACAAGGAAAGAATGAAATAATTTCTAAAATGATTCATAGCAAGTAGATAACATATATTTCTACACACTTGCACTTTGTTTACTAGCGTTAAACAACCACCATCTTATCACATTTTACCATATATTTTTGAGTTACTTTCAACTTATATAACGGAAATAACCGTTCAAATATTAATATGCATAATGATGATCATTTAAAAGTCGTTTCAATGAATATACATGGAAATATAAAAACAAGTATATCATCATATAAATGTTGTTTATGTCGAAAACTAGTTGATGATGCAACCTTAACATGTGCAAAATGTGTTAATACAGGTCGATTTTGTCCATCTAAACATGATACATGTTCAAATGAACGAAGACAAATATTAATAAATATGTTAATGTCAAATGATTATGAAGAATTTCAACAATATTCAAAAAAATATTCAATTAATACACCAGCACATTTACAATGTTCTGATCGAATGTTTTTATTAAAAAAATTCAATATAGAAAAATCAATTTTACAAGCCCAATATCAAACAAAAATGGAACCAATAATTCGACTGCATCAAATGTCTGAAGAAAATCTTGTACGAAAAAATCGTCTTAACCTTATTAATCAATCTATAAAGCGGTTACGAGAACAGATTGAACGAAGCAAAATAATTAAACTTGAAATTCAACAACGTATGGATAAAAAAAATTTAAGAATACAATTAATTAAAAAAAAAATAAATGAAATCAATATAGTGTTAAATTCGTCGAATGATAAAATACGAATAAAAAATGACTTACGAATTAAGCAAGAAAATCAATTAAATATTATTCGGCGACAACGTCTTGATGAAGTATATCAATATGTATTTCCTATTGAACATGTATTATCCACAAAAGAAGAGCTTGCATCAAGAATAAGAGTTTTATCAAATGTAGGAGAAGATCGATATCAAATTGTTAATTCATGTTTACCAGCTAATGGAGAATATCAAATTGATAAACTTCTTCTCACAACTGATGTTGAATATAAAACTTCTGATGTTGATTCTGTACTTTCAGCTTTATCACATGCTTGTCAATTAATTAATGTTATTGCATTTTATCTTAATATTGCTTTACCATTTCGTTTACATCAATTGGAATTTAATAGCGATAATTTAACAATAGATAGTCTTCGTCGTGATATTGCTAAATTAAATGCAAATATATTTAGTAGTTGTATAACACAAGATATACCAATAAAAGATACCAATGTAACACATACACTTGAAAATTTAGTAAAATTACTTAGATTTGAACGATATTGTAGTCGACCAAAGCCAGTTATATATTCTCAACAATATATTGATATGATAGAAGAAG